TGTGAAACATCTGCAAGATCTGAACCCCAATTTGATTTCCTATCACTGTGTATTCACCTAACCACACTTTGTGCAAAGCTTAGCAATAAGTATGCTAGTGTCAATGGTGATTAAACTTTTCAACTTCCTTTGGTCCAAGTCATCACTGGCACACATACTGTTCAAAAGCTTTCTTTCAGAAGTATCTGCCAATGACCTGTTAGTTCATAATGGCATCCTCTGGCTGAACAGAAGGCTGTGGGAAATTTGAGTTCATGTGGAAGAATGTCTACATAACATTCCAGGGAAAGAGGCAGAAGAGCGACATGCATTTTTGAGGGATGGCACAAGCATGAGCATCCTGTCCTTCCTTGTTGATTTGACAGGACACTTAGATGAGTTCAACTTAAAGCTACAGGGGCAAAATTTCAATGTAATGGATCTCCACAGCTGTGTCACTTCATTTCAAAACAAACTGAGTCTCTTCAAAAGAGATTTGGAAACTGGGGGATTGCGGCATTTCCTGATGCTGCTAAACTGCCGGAACACTGCAGATGTGAATCAGACGGCATCATCTCTAGACAGGCTTCTTCAAACCACCCAGAAGAGGTTCCAAGAATTATGAAAATGTTAAAGGTATCTTCCTGTTTGTAAGGAACCCATTTGTGGTACAAGGAAATGGCACTTGGTTTGATCAAGCAAAAACATCCTTTCCAGATGTGGAAAAAGCAGAACTATAACTGGAGCTTGCTGATTTACAAGCACATGGAAGTGCTTAAGGTGCAGCACACCCTATATCTGAAACTTTCTGAAAGATCCTTGCGCTGCACTCTATGTATCCACACTTGAGGAAGGTGGCATTTAACATGTGTGAGTCAGCATTCTCAACAGTGAACAACTTTAAAATTTGTCATCGCTCCTTTCTGACTAATAATCATCTGTGCAATTGCTTCCTTCTGGCCTTGACTGAACTCACTCCAAACTTCAAGGCCCTTGTCCATCAGAGGACCTGTCACTTTTCCCACTGGTGGTGAGTAGTAAAACTAACTATACGTTATTCATGCATATTTTAGTTTAAATTTGTAGTGCTGTAGAAAATTACATTTTCAGTAGTGATACTACAGTTTTAACAGGTACTTCACAGTAATTATTCATGATTCTTTTTCTTAATACTGGTATAGGTGGGTGTGTATTTCTTACTGGAAAGACTTGAATCATAAAAGATAAAGAATCCATATGTACTAAGTTATTTTCTTTCAAACTTTGATACTTAGAATAAATGAACCACGAAAGGCTTGAAAGTTTCAAATATGTTTATCTATCTATAAACATATATACCTACAATAATTTGATTGACAAAACACATTCAGAACTTAAGCAGTTGTCTAAAAGTGTTTTAATGCTAATATTTGCATCTATTTGATATTTTATCAATGTACTTTCTCAAAGTCTCAGGTATAATGTATTGCATCTTTCTTGGAGGTTATTTTTAGGTTATATAGTGGTTTGATTTTATTTTTCATTTAATGCACTACAAATATAAGCAATAGGCCCTGGATACATTACACAGCATTGTATGTGTTTGTTGAACAGGGGCACTTGTGGTGTGAAAAACGTTTCTCTGGAGTCCGACCTTGACTATACCTTGATCAAGAAATGTGGATCTTGACAAAATATAATTGACTACTCCTGGGCTAAGGGCATCCCAAACTGCAATAACATACAGTTAGAAGTGATGCTGAAGTGGCATCGCCCCGCTTCTGATGGACTGTCTTCACTGGGTCGTCAACAGCAGACTTTCTAACAATCTTTACAGATCTCTTGAATAAAGTTTCACCTCCCTCTCAGGTCCTTCTCTCTGGTCTCTGTCTCTCACCGGTCTCTGTGTCTCTCTCTCTCCCTCTGCTTTCTGCTCTCATCCGCTCTCTGTTCTCTTTCTTCTCGATCTGCCACACATACATTTACACTGCTCCTTTCTGCTTCTTTCCTGCACCTTCTCCTCACATACACTGTCTGACACTTACTTTCTCTCTGACACTCACTGACTGCTCGCTCACCCACACACACTCTCCTCTTACTCTTCAACACTGACTGCCTGACTGACTCTCTCAGATTTTTATATCATGCTTGTTTTTCTCACTTTTGCTTATGTTTTTTCTGTCAGAACTCTTGGTGCATATGCCAGCATTGCAACATAGGATCTAATGCACCCAACCTTCTGACCAACTGTCTCACCATTGTTGGTTATTTTTCCTGCCAGTTCTTGTTTCTCTACCTTCAGCTAATGGTGGAATGATACCTTAGTGATGTGCTTGCCTATCACAAAATGGCAGCAAGTTTTCAAAATGGAGTAACTCTAGTTCTCTGCCATCAGAATGGTCTAGGTATACTTGGTCCTGCCTCAGTGCAGGAGGCTGGCTTGATGACCACTCAAGGACCTTTCTAGCCCTACATTTCTATGATTCTGTGTACATAGAGATACCATTTGGCGAGCTTTCACAACTAACATCTGGTCCACAGTGTTGTTTTTGTACCATGTTATTACAAGAAAGATACAGCAGAAACAGAAGGGGTTCAGAGAGAGGCAATGACAATGACTAGAAGAATGAAGAGATTTTTGTATAAGAAAAAAAAAAAGAAAAAAATAGGGCCATTAAGTTTAAAAAATAATGAGTCAGGGGGACCATGATATAGATATAAAAATAATAAATGGTTGGGAGAATATACATTGGGTGTTCCTATTTATCCTCTCTCATAACAGAACAACAATGGAACATCCAATGAAACTGAAAGACAACAAATTGACAGCAGATTAAAAGACAAAGTTTTTAGCCCAATGCATAAACAAGCTGTGGAACTCATTGTCATCATTACAAGTCATCATTATGGCTAAGAGCTTTGTATAGTTTTAAAAAAAAAAGTATAAAACACTTTTATGGACAAGGAAAACATCTACTATTACATTATGTGACAAAGCTCTGTTCTTGTCTCTGTGGGTTCCACGTTTCCTGGTGGATTTTGCTAGCCTCAAAGGCTCACTGTGACCCTTCACATAACCCTTCTCTCTCTGGAGACAAGGGTCACAGTCTACTGAGCCATTTTCATCATAAACCAGCAAGGGAGGTGAGGAGAAGCTATCCTCCCTTGCACAGTCTTTGTTGTCTCCCAGTCTCAGTGATTAATCGGGGGAAGCCAAGGCCCACCCTCTACTCCAGGCTCCAGCCCAGGGACCCTAATAGTATCAGCTATGGTAGCTGACCTTTTAGAAACATGACATGTACAATTCCCTGGGCTACTTCCCCAAAGCAGCCCCCACTTCCTCAGGCTCCACTTCATCCTTACCTCAGGGCCTCCTTCCTTGTGCCTGATATAGTGTGTACTGCTCAGTCTCTCCAACAGCACAGCTTCCTCCCACAGCTCCTGACATCCATCCCGACCTGACTAACTGGGAGACTTTTAACTAGTTTCAGCTGGCTTCAGGTGTCCCAATCAACCTAGCGTTCTCCCTGCCTTCCGGAAAGTTCTTAATTGGCCCAGGTGTCTTAATTGACCTGGAGCAGCTGCCATTTCACTTATCCTGGTACCAGGGATTTGTTTAGCCTGGAGCTAATATATCTATCTCCCACTACTTTTCTATAGCCATCTGGCCTTGCCCCGTCACAATTAGATGAGATTTTTAAAAATTAGAACAGATATGAACCTTAATGCTTCAAAGCACAGTCAAAGATACTTCTGCTATGGACCGGTTATTCTATCATTGTCCACTAAAAGGTTCTTCTACCTTCCTGTCAATTTGCCAAGCATAAAATTCTGGCCACTATCCTCAGCCCACTGGTTTACTGGCCAAACTAGCATGTTAACTTTGGTTCCACATGTCAGTTTCCTGTGATACTTTTCATAAGTGCCTGTCTGACTCGCCACAGGGTGGCAAACATAAAAGAGCAGAACTAAGGTTATTTGGGTACCTGAACTCCATATTTTCATACTTTATAATGTTTTTTTTTTAACTTAACTTAGAATTTCCTGAGTACCAGGGTTTTGGTATTAAATTACATTGTTTATTAAGGTCCTCCGCTGCAGTTATTTAATACATATTTATAATCTTATGTGTAGCTCAACAATGTTTTTTTCCTCTCTGGGAATTATTTAGCATTCTCTTTGGTTTTCACTTTGAAATGCCATTCAAAGTAGTGAATATTTTGGGTTAAAAGAGAGCCAGTTCATTATGATGCCTAGGGATTGGGATGGAATTGAGAGATAATTAGAAGAATAGAGAGAGAGCTCAAAGAGATGCCGTACAGACTATATTCAAGGGCTATAGATAGCCTCAGAGTCTCCTTTGCTGTAGAGTATTTATAGGGTCCTCTTTGGAGCTCTGCAATATTTCATATTCCTACATAGCATACTTCCTTCTAGAATTGTCGCAGAGCATCCCTGCAGTTGTAGATTATTTCGTGGAGTCCTTGAAGACTGTCAGCCATCTCCCAGAGTCTTCTTCTGCGTCTATGAACTACTTTGCTATGCTCCGTCTACTTCTGGTTGGAACTGCCTGATGAGCCCTTTGTATCCCAAGGTTGCTTTCCTGAGAGTCATACAGGATTTCAATCTCTCTTCCATTGACTTTGTGTTTGTTCTGTCAGATCTTGACAATCAAGGAGCCCCCTAATTAATTTATATTTAAATCACAAAATTCCACATTAATGTTACAGATCTGAATTTTGTTTATTTTGGAGGTTTTAAGAATAGAACTGCTCCCCTCTGTCCAAAGTGCCTCACAATCATGAATTGCCTTAGGTGCCATAGGAGAAAATGGCCTAATTTAAAGATGGTAGTAATAAGCAGCTGGGAAGAGCAAAGTCAGCACTGCCTTTAACCCTGGCTTTCCTTGCTCTCCTAGATTTAGTGAGATTTATTTTCATTTAAAGAGTATTTGAATATTGTATTCTAATCTGTAAAGTCACAATAACTTGAGTCCCTGTCCTAATGACTCATCACTTCTGGTGCCATTTCTCTTACAACAGGTGGAAAAGGCATGGGAGGCTGGGAAGGAGGGATCCGTGTGCCAGGGATATTTAGATGGCCAGGAGTATTGCCTGCGGATACAGTTATTGATGAACCTACAAGTCATATGGACATTTACCCCACAGTGGCTCACCTGGCTGCAGGGATAATGCCTCAGGACAGGTATTGAGACTGTTTCATAAACCATATTTGCTGTATTTCAGTTGTAATGAAAAGATTGATATTGCGCAACCTAATATACAGTTGCTTGTTTTAAAGGGACATTGTCAGGTTAGAAGTCATACAGTTTTTAAAAACAAATGTCTTTATCTTTCCTCCTGCTTAGTTCTACCCATTCTGTATGATTTTAAGGAAAACACAAATATTTTTATATATTATACGTTTACTTCTTAATATAAAAATAGGATTAATTATAGTTAAATTCCATTTTCTTTCATAAACAAACGATGGAAACAAATGTATATGTGTGATTCCCTGGGATGATTCTGGTTTTCTTTAAAGAAAAAAGCCCTCTTGTATTAGAAGGGTGCATAGGAATTTGGGAGGCAGAAATGTTTTGTTAGAGCATAAACCAAAGGACTGGGAGACTGGACACCTGGGTCCTATTTCTGGCTTTGTCACTAATTCAGTGTGTAACTGACGGTGGGCTCACCACTTAGACCAAAATTATAAAGCTTTGGTACTTAAAGTTAGGCTCCTAAATCCATATTTAATCATCAACATGTGACCTGATGTTTCAGGAGTTCTGAGCGCCGGCAGCTCCCATCGACTTCAGCCTTAGTCACCAAAGTTAGAAAGAATGGATTTCCCTGTGGCTACAGTTTACGCTTCTGTAAAATGATCGTGCTAACATACATCACCATGGTGATGTTTTTGTAATGTACTTGTGTTTTGAGACCCTTGGAGCAAAGGCGCTAAGGAGGTGTGAGATATTAAGTGTTCCACTGACCCAATTAGAGCTGGCTGACATTTTTCAGACAAATAGTGTATTTGATGGAAAATGCACTTTTGAGTGACTTGAAATGATTTGTTAACCTGACATGAATAGTTTCAGCCATTAATAAAATAGCTGGAGGAGGTGATGCTGCCCTTTGGTCACCATCTTGTCACTTTTAGCCCCAGTGGTTGGGTATTCACCCAAAAGGTGGGAGACCCAGGTTCAAATCCTTGCTCTGGAACAGACCAAAAATAGCATTTTTCAATTCCCTGAAAAGTCCAATTTTTTTTTTTCAGAACTATCACTGAACTGAAAAATCAGTTGCTTAAGTCTCTATAGCTGTGGAATAATATGTAATTTTAAATGTTCGTATTTCCTGATTCAAATGGTAGCTTGTTTAAGAATTGCCATTTGCAATGAGAGTGCTGACTACAGAATGTACTCACCCTAGTTTGGTGACTTCCATTCTCTCCCTCACATTAGGGTGATCGACGGCGAAACCTGATGCCTTTACTGCAGGGAAAAGTTCAGCTTTCGGAGCATGAGTTCCTGTTTCACTACTGTGGGCTATATTTACATGCAGTACGGTGGCACCAAAAGGACAGTGAGTATAAATATTTTCCCCACAACAGGTCAGATTAGATGATTAATTGTTCTTCTTGGCCTTCAGATCTATGAAACTATGAAACAACGGGTAAGTAAACATATAGCAGTGTGTGTATACATTATAAAAAAAAAATATCCAAAACAATATGCCCTACTGCACATGCTTGAGTCCCTGGGGAGAGGACAAGAGGACAAACACATGACAGATATTGGCAGCAGGTACCATAGGCTGGGGGAGGCTGTGCCTCCCCAAAAAGCCAGCCATGGCCCCACCCACACTCTGTCCCCAGGCACCCTTCCTGCTTCCCGCCCGCTTGGCATGCAGCAGTGCGGCTCCTCCAGTCCCCCTGTGTGGTGGCCCTGGTTTGGGCTGGGATTGCGCCACTCGCCCTCCTGGAACCAACTAGGGGCAGAGCTCTTCTTGACCTGCTGCTCGCAAACTGGGAAGAATTAGTAGGGGAAGCAAAACTGGATGGGAACCTGGGAGGCAGTGACCATGAGATGGTCGAGTTCAGGATCCTGACACAGGGAAGAAAGGAGAGCAGCAGAATATGGACCCTGGACTTCAGAAAAGCAGACTTTGACTCCCTCAGGGAACTGATCGGCAGGATCCCCTGGGAGAATAACATGAGGAGGAAAGGAGTCCAGGAGAGCTGGCTGTATTTTAAAGAATCCTTATTGAAGTTACAGGGACAAACTATCCCGATGTGTAGAAAGAATAGTCAATATGGCAGGCGACCAGCTTGACTTAACAGTGAAATCCTTGCTGATCTTAAACACAAAAAAGAAGCTTACAAGAAGTGGAAGATTGGATAAATGATCAGGGAAGAGTATAAATATATTGCTCGGGCATGCAGGAGTGAAATCAGGAAGTCCAAATCACACCTGCAGGTACAGCAAGCAAGAGATGTTAAGAGTAACAAGAAGGGTTTCTTCAGGTATGTTAGCAACAAGAAGAAAGTCAAGGAAAGTGAATGAGGGAGGCAACCTAGTGACAGAGGATGTGGAAAAAGCTAATGTACTCAATGCTTTTTTTGCTTCTGTCTTCACAAACAAGGTCAGCTCCCAGACTGCTGCACTGGGCAGCACAGCATGGGGAGGAGGTGACCGGCCCTCTGTGAAGAAAAAAGTGGTTCGAGACTATTTAAAAAATCTGGATGAGCACAAGTCCAGGGGGCTGGATGCGCTGCATCTGAGAGTGCTAAAGGAGTTGGCGGATGTGATTGCAGAGCCATTGGCGATTATCTTTGAAAACTCATGGCGATCGGATGACTGGAAAAAGGCTGATGTAGTGCCCATCTTTAAAAAAGGGAAGAAGGAGAGTCCTGGAAACTACAGGCCAGTGAGCCTCATCTCAGTCCCTGGAAAAACCATGGAGCAGGTCCTCAAGGAATCAATTCTGAAGCACTTAGAGGAGAGGAAAGTGATCAGGAACAGTCAGCATGGATTCACCAAGGGCAAGTCATGCCTGACTAATCTAATTGCCTTCTATGACGAGATAACTGGCTCTGTGGATATGGGGAAAGCAATGAATGTGTTGTTCCTTGACTTTAGCAAAGCTTTTGACACTGTCTCCCACAGTATTCTTGCCAGTAAATTAAAGAAGTATGGGCTGGATGAATGGACTGTAAGGTGGATAGAAAGCTGGCTAGATTTTTGGGCTCAACGGGTAGTGATCAATGGCTCCATGTCTAGTTGGCAGCCGGTATCAAGTGGAGTGCCCCAAGGGTTGGTCCTGGGGCCGGTTTTGTTCAATATCTTCATTAATGATCTGGAGGATGGTGTGGATTGCACCCTCAGCAAGATTGCAGATGACACTAAACTGGGAGGAGTGGTATATATGCTGGAGGGTAGGGATAGGATACAGAGGGCCCTAGACAAATTGGAGGATTGGGCCAAAAGAAATCTGATGAGGTTCAACAAGGACAAGTGCAGAGTCCTGCACTTAGGACGGAAGAATCCCATGCACCGCTACAGACTAGGGACCGAATGGCTCGGCAGCAGTTCTGCAGAAAAGGACCTAGGGGTTACAGTGGACGAGAAGCTGGATATGAGTCAACAGTGTGCCCTTGTTGCCAAGAAGGCCAATGACATTTTGGGCTTCAGAAGTAGGGGCATTGCCAGTAGATCAAGGGACGTGTTTGTTCCCCTCTATTCGACATTGGTGAGGCCTCATCTGGAGTACTGTGTCCAGTTTTGGGCCCCACACTACAAGAAGGATGTGGAAAAATTGGAAAGAGTCCAGCAGAGGGCAACAAAAATGATTAGGGGACTGGAACACATGACTTATGAGGAGAGGCTGAGGGAACTGGGATTGTTTAGTCTGCGGAAGAGAAGACTGAGGGGGGATTTGATAGCTGCTTTCAACTACCTGAAAGGGGGTTCCAAAGAGGATGGATGTAGACTGTTCTCAGTGGTAGCAGATTTCAGAACAAGAAGCAGTGGTCTCAAGTTGCAGTGGCGGAGGTTTAGGTTGGATATTAGGAAAAACTTTTTCACTAGGAGGATGGTGAAACACTGGAATGCATTACCTAGGGAGGTGGTGGAATCTCCTTCCTTAGAAGTTTTTAAAATCAGGCTTGACAAAACCCTGGCTGGGATGATTTAGTTGGGGGTTGATCCTGCTTTGAGCAGGGGGTTGGACGAGATGACCTCCTGAGGTCCCTTCCAACCCTGATATTCTATGATTCTATGATTACTAAGGGTTGGATTTTTAAAGGTAAATTTAGGCACCTAAAGGCTCAACTAGGACCTTACGTGAGATTTTGAAAATCCCACTAGGTATCTATCTGCATCTTTAGATGCCTAAATACCTTTAAAAATCTGGCGCTCAGCCTACAATAATAGAAGGTGCAGCTGCCTCATGATAGCCAGTGCTTTCATTGCTCCAGCTGCAAAAGCATCAGGAGAGCTACCAACAGAGTGATCATGGATACAGCCTATTTTTTTAAGCTTAAGAATTTGTTTGCTTATTTTCAAGAGTTCCATTTTCTCTGTTAAACTGGGTTTTCCCTTTATAAAGCTCAGCTGTGAAACATCTTTCTTCAATTAGGCTAATTGACAGCAGCTGTAATGCATTTCTTAATTATGACTTAACTCCAAAACCTTCAAACAAACAAACAAACTTCCTTGCTGATATATTCTTAAAGATGTCAAGTTCCCCTAAGAAAAGGAGAGCTGGGAGCTAGGAATTCCAGAGTTCTAAGTCCTGTGCTGACACAGATTCCCCTACCTGCATACGGTGTAGTGTCAGGAACCATGAATGCATGGTTATAAGAAATCCATGTTTCTCACTCCTGATGGCTGAGGTAAGGCGGAAGGTGACGGAGGAGACTATCCCTTTCTCCTCATCTAAGCACTGTCTCTAAGACCTTGAGCAAGTCACTTAACATTTCTGCCTTGGTTTCCCTGTCTCTGAAATGGCGGTAATAATTTTTAAGTTCTTCACTGCATCTCGTTGTGTTGTGTTGTGAGGCTTAATTAGTTACTGCTGGTAAAGCCAAAAAGTTGATCTATGCCTCTAAACATTTCTCATAAATCCTTAATACATTTTGAGTGGAATATATCAGCTATTGTATCTATCATATTCTGTACATGTATAGCCCCATCACTGTAGTATCTGAGCACCTTACGGTCTTTAAGGTATTTATCCTCACTACACCTTTGTGAGGTAGGGAAGTGCTATTATTCCCATTGCACAGATGGAAAACTGAGTCACAGAGGGTGACTAGGGACAAATTTTTTTAAAGATATTAAGATGTTGTTTGTTCATTGTTGCGAAGCCTATGGGCCAGATCCTGAAAGGTATTTAGGTGCCTATCTGCCTCTTTAGGTGCCCAAGCCCACGACTTGGATGCCACTGACATTTTCAAAGCTGCTCCTTAGCTGCTACCTACCCCCAGAGGTGTCTAAATCCCCCAAGCACCTAAAATTTCCACCAGTCAGCATTTGCAAAAGCCGCCTAAGGCCTGACAACATGTTACAGCAAGTAAGCTGCTCGGATCCCTCACTCAAGCCAAAGCCCTGAAGGCCACAAAGGCAGGGAGAATTGTCTATATCGTCAGTGAGGTCCAATCCCTGTAGTTGTGCTCTGAGCACACTGAAATCTTGATACCTGTCAGGTCCTGCTGCAGGAGGGCGAGATGCAGGTCACTGATGGAGTGGGGCAGCGCAGCACCCACACAACAGACAGCCAGGGACAAAGAGAAAATAGGACAAAGCATGAGAGAGGTATTGAGTGTGCAAGAAAGAGCGACAGTTTGGTTGCTAGGGTGTGGGCTCGCTACAGGGGCTATCCTGGCTTTGGTACCTAACTGCATGAGAGGGTTCATGCCAACACATCCTGAGTGTAGGGAGGGGCCTGTCAGCCTGGTGCACTAGGTCAGCTGTTTAGGCGTCTATGCCCTTCTCCTCTGCATTTTGATCCTGTCTAGCTTAGACAAGCTCCCTGCTGAGCTTGCCAGCTTCTGAGGCTCCTTTTCATAAGAATTTAGGGCCAGATCCACAAAGGTTCTTAGGCACCTAAATCCCACATTAAGGTATCGCTGATGTTCTCAAAACCACTGCTCAGCAGCCGCCTAATTGTGTAGGCACTTGAAGTCCCCCTAGGTGCCTCTGTTTCCACCAGTTGTTGTGAGCAAAGCTGCCTAAATCCTGATGTTACCCCACAGATAACAAGCTGTTCTGAACCCTTGCTCACTCCGTAGCCCAAAGGGATTCTCAGACTAGGAGTTTCCCTGCCTCTCTCTGCAGTGAGGCTGGATGTGGGAGGCTTTCTCAGAGCACACTTACCAGATTGGGTTTCACACAAATGACAGTCGTGGACGAACAGGTCAGCAATTTTTGGTGCTCGGGTGGGTGTGCATAGCTATTACTAAGGGTTGGATTTTTAAAGATAAAATTAGGCACCTAAAGGCTCAAATAGGACCTTACGTGAGATTTTGATCCCCTCAAATACTCCACAGCCCAGAGGCTAGAATATTCATTTGAGAGGTGGGA